GCCAGATGACATAGGCTCCTTCCCAAGAGTTAAAGCAGATGTGGCCACAGAGAGATTTGCCACCGGAACATTTCCTTCAAATAAAGGATTTGTTGTCAAAGGTGCCCTTGTGACTAAGGTTGCTTGAAGAGATTGGAAGGATGCCATCAATTCCTTCAAAGTATTTTCCATATTTTCAACACGATTTTCCAAAGCTACCTTCTCTAAATTAGCTTCGTCAGCCATTTTCCTTGCAAGAGTTCTAGTGCGAATAGGTGAACGAACTCTTGGATAATTCCTTTTAAGACCAATCTTTCAACACCTGAAAAATATAAGCATTATTAACAAATCATGGATTCGGCATTTTGAAAGATAAGTTCCCAAAGTTCCCTATCTTCTAATTATTTATTTTTATTTTTACACATGGATTCTTCATTGTCAAGAACAACTTCAACCATTTGTATGTAAAGGGAATGAGAAACTAGAACTAAGCAATTGTCACGCCAGCTAGAAACATGGGGAGATTGCCCCCTTCATGATTTTTTAGAATTTTTTTTTTAAGTAAAAGAAAAATAATGAGGAGATTGCCTCCCTCATATCTTTTCTTCTTTTTATTGAGGAACTTGCTTTTTCTCAACTAGTAAAATTCACTTTGTCAAGATTACTCAAACTATTCCAAGTAGCAACCAAGTCTTTTACAAAAGGTCTTTTGGTTTGCACAAAGAATCCATCATTGTGTAACTTGTTCTTCTTGGATAATGGCAGACATTCTAACTCTAAATTCATCCCTTTTCCCTTACTGTTCTTTTCCTCCAAAGAATCCATGTGTAAAACAATCAATTACCTATTTATTAAAGAAAAGAAAAAGGAGAGTTAATAAATGTCATACCTCTTGGTAGAATTCCTCACCTAAGAAACACAAAAACATTGTTTAAAAACAAAATACTCCCAACGTGTCCTATGTATAAGGTTCTTAAACTTTGAAGGTGGTTTACTAGGTTGGCCGCCCTAGGGTTAAGTTTTGTCTAAGTCCATTACATGCAGTTTCTTAGTGGATCCTATACGATTAGGTTTTTTTTCAACTGCTAACCTCCATAAGTCAACAATTACTAACTTCCATAAAGTCAACAATTGCCAACTTCTATAAAGTTAACAAGAGGCATTTCATGACCTAATATAGCAGCAGCATTATGACTGTCAAGCCATATTAACCCACAAAATGAACCTAAAAGAGATAAATCTCACTTCACAATGAAAGCATTGCGCTTTTCATTGCTCCATGAGTTATCCATCTATCTAGAGGTCGGGTTCACCTCATTAAGGACAAAATGATATGCAAGTGAGGTGTGTGAGGGAGTATACACATAAAGTTAACATATGAAAGTAACCAAAATATTAAATAAAATAACAAAATAAAAAGAACTTACAAGGCACTTCAAGCCACCTACAAAACAAAAGTTAATAATTGAAAAACCCCAAAATTAAAGTATAAATGGCTTGACCCTTCAATGTCCCCAGTGGAGTCGCCAAACTGTTGACGTGCCAAAATGGATGGAGTCGCCATCTATCCAAATGAGGTGGGATAGATCACCAAGGTCTACGTAG